TTTTTTTTGCGGCGGTGTTTGCGTTTTTTCGGGGTTTGCGTTTGACGGCGGGCGGCCGTTTTTGCGTTTTTGGCGGTGTTTGCGTTTGGCGGCGGGCGGCCGTTTTTTGCGGCGTTTTGCGGTTGGCGGCGGGCGTGCGTGCGTTACGGGCGTTTTTGCGGCGGTGTTTGCGTTTTTTGGGGTTTTTGTGTTTGTTTCGATGCGGGTGTTTTTGCTGTTTGCGTTTGGCGGCGGGCGGCCGTTTTAGCGGCGGTTTGCGGCGGGCGGCCGTTTTTTGGGGCGTTTTGCGGTTTGCGGCGGGCGGCCGTTTTTGCGGCGTTTTGTGGTTTGCGGCGGGCGGCCGTTTTTTACGGCGTTTTGCGGTTGCCGGCGACCGGCCGTTATTTGCGGTTAGCGGCGGGCGGTCGTTTTTTGCGGCGTTTAGCGGATTGCGGCGGGCGGCCGTTTTTGCGGCGTTTTGCGGTTCGCGGCGTGCGGCCGTTTTTTGCAGCGTTTCGCGGTTGGCGGCGGGCGATGCGGGCGTTTTTTTGCGGTGGCGGTGTTTGCGTTTTTGCGGTGTTTGTGTTTTGCGGCGGACGCGCGTTTTTTGCGGAATTTTGTGCGTTTTTTCTGCGGTTTTCGGCGGGCGGGCGATTGTTTTTTTGCGAAGTTTGCGTTGGCGTTTTCGGCGTGCGTTTTGCGCGTTTTGCGGTGTTTGCGTTTTGCGGCGGGCGGGCGGTTTTTCACGATTAAAGTCCCAACCTTCGGATCCGCAGTGCTGTTCGACAAGCGCTGCCCGGGCCTATCCGAAGGTTGGGACTTTTCAATTAAGAACAATCACTATTCTTTAGAATTGTGATTTTCTATTGAAAATCCCAACCTGAGCTACCTCTCTAGGGGGGTGTTTAGCGTTTCGGCCGCGATTTTGGTCATTTTGATTGGGGCAAAAACGGCACGGTCAACTTTCTTGCCATTTTCAGCGTTTGGTCCCGTATGGGGGAGCTACCTTGTGGCAAAGTTGCATAAAATATAATGGGCCCGTTTTGGGGTAATTGGCACGTGCATTTTCCCATAGGGTTAACATGGGGGAAAATTTAAAATGCGATTTGCGCAAAAACTCCACGTTAGAAATGAATTATATTTTTAGGGTCGAATCTTGGGCCGGGACCCCACCTCATGGTGGTAAGCATTTAAAATATAAATGACAAAATTTTGGGTAATCGTCACGAACAGTTACCCCATGTTGAGCCTATGGCGAATTCGAAAAATTATTTTCAAATCGATTTTGCAAAAAATTTCCACGTTAGATTTTGAAAATGTTCCAATATGTTGTGCCCCGGGGTGTCGGCTACCACATGGTATGGGTCAGATATGGGGCGATTGAAAAGCACGTGCCACGTGCAAACGTGTTTGATGGGGTAACCTCCGGGAAAATCCGACATTGGCCAACTGGGGGTCCTATGGCGTGGAAACCACTCCACCTAGCGACACCAAATCAACGCAGCCGGTGAGCAGATGAGTCCAGCTTGTCGCACTAGTGGTCACGTGGCGCACGTGCTATTGCACGTGCCGTGGCACGAGGTCAATTTTGGTGCTTAAATATACTAGCATTGTGAAATGCAAGGAATGGGGGAAATAGCCGTCAGGCCGTCAGATTTTATGATAGGGTCGATCTGAAAACGGGTGTAGGCACACAATGAAGGGGGCTAAAAAACTGCCATCTCGGATTTTTTTTGTAAAATGACAACTCAAAATTCTGGGGAAATTATATATCCGAAAAGTGAAATTTCCCTAAATTTTCCCGTTTTTCGAGTTTAGCCGTCCACTGTTCAGGGACGGTGACACCGGCCGGGGTCATCTTTTATATGCTGATGGCCACGCCGATGGGTCATCACGTGGCGTGAACGGTGAAGCCATCAAAGGTCCGGCACGTGTCACGTGGCCACGTGTTTGAGTCGCGTACCTCCCAGATTATCGTGTGTTTGCCGATTTGTGGCCTTATAGCACGAAAACAGCACAAGCCAGGAACACTGAAATGGTGCAATCAGTGAGGGGACAAGTCCTGCTTGCACCACCGGTGGTCACGTGGCACACGTGCAAATCTGGGCACCTCCGTTGCGGAGATATTTTATAGTGAAATATTCAAATGTACATAACTTTGTAAGTTTAAGTCCGATTGGGCTAGAATTTGGTGGGTGGATGAAATGTTAAGCGACAGGAACGAGTGCGCCACGATTGTTGCAGTGCGCCACGTTTGTCTCAAAGCGCCATTTTTGCCGCAAATCGCAGAATATGCCTAACTTTGTCGAACATTGGACGATTACTGTGCGCTGTAGTTAAGGGATGGCTGCTTAAACGGCAGATATGAATGCACCACATTTGCCGCAGGGCGCCATATTTGTCTTAATGCGTCAGTGTTTGCGTTTTGCCTACGGCGGGCGTTTTTGCGGCGGTGTTTGCGTTTTTTTCGGTGTTTGCGTTTGGCGGCGGGCGGCTATTTTTGCGTTTTTTTCGGTGTTTGCGTTTGGCGGCAGACGGCCGTTTTTGCGGCGTTTTGCGGTTGGCGGCGGGCGGGCGTGCGTTGCGGGCGTTTTTGCGGCGGTGTTTGCGTTTTTTGCGGTTTTTGTGTTTGGCGGCGGGCGGGCGGGCGATGCGGGTGTTTTTGCGTTTGGCGGCGGGCGGCCGTTTTAGCGGCGGTTTGCGGCGGGTGGCCGTTTTTTTGCGGCGTTTTGTGGTTTGCGGCGGATGGCCGTTTTTTGCGGCGTTTTGCGGTTTGCGGCGGCCGGCCGTTTTTTGCGGCGTTTTGCGGTTGCCGGCGGCCGGCCGTTTTTTGCGGCGTTGCGCGGTTGGCGGCGGGCGATGCGTTTTTTTTTGCGGCGGCTGTGTTTGCGTTTTGCGGCGGACGGGCGTTTTTTGCGGCGTTTTTTTTCTGCGGTTTTCGGCGGGCGGGCGATTGTTTTTTTGCGAAGTTGGCGTTGGCGTTTTAGGCGTGCGTTTTGCGCGTTTTGCGGTGTTTGCGTTTGGCAGCGGGCGGGCGGGCGGTTTTTCACAATTAAAGTCCCAACCTTCGGATCCGCAGTGCTGTTCGACAAGCGCTGCCCGGGCCTACATGGGAAGCAATGCGGTTGTTTTCTGTTGGGTTTCTGCTCCATTGCAATACGCGTGTGCGGATTTCTCCAGCGCCGTCGGGTCACCAATGCATTGATAATGTATCTGTAATCTGAATAATATCTAATATTTCTGAAAATTCTGAACTTCAACGTCTAAGCTTGACTTCACCCAAACAAGAAGTATATCATTCGACGCGCCTGAGCAAGGCGAACACGATGGTGCCAAAATTACTGTGGCCATTTTTGCGCAGTTATTTACCAGAAACCAAACCCGTATCTTGGGCCACTTGACCTGACCTCAGAGGTCACCGGTTGACCTGACCTCAGAGGTCACCGGTTGACCTGAGACTTAAGAATCGGGTACCAATCGCTGCCTCTTGTAACGGCGCACACGCTCGTTTTTTGCAAGTATCTTACTCCGTCAGGGGCGAAACGGCGAGGGGGTCGTATCCGCCCCCCCCCCCTCGGCCGGCGTGTATGTACTATATAGAAAGCAATAGGTCCAGCGAGGGTTCAAGATATGCGAAAACATCATTGATTATTGCTACCTGTCCTTTATTATTCAAAATTTTTGCCGTCTCCGGACCTATTGGTTTTCTACATACGCGCCGGCCGAGGGGGGTGGGGGGTGGGTACGACCCAGCTCGCTGTTTCGCCCCTGGTGAAGCTAGCGCGTCGCGGAAAAACGAGCGCTTGCGCCGTTACGAGACGCAGAGATTGATACCCGATTTTAAGGTCCTATGTTAGCCGGTGACCTCTTGAGGTCAGGTCAATTGCCCCAGGGTAAGGTTCCGTTTTTGGTGAATAACTACGCAAAAAACAGCCGTAAAACCGCGATTTTGGCAGCATCGTGTTCGCCTCGCTCAGGTGCGTCGAATGATATACCTTTTGTTTGGATGAGGTCAACTTAGGGTGTTGACCTCAGGTCACGGTCAGGTCAGCGCCCCCAGGTCACGAAGCTGGTCGAAGGAGGTCATGTCGCATATCATTCGATTCGGCATGTCTTCCTGAGTCCGTTGGTGGCTTTCCCGACTCGCTTGCTCAATTTGATCGGTAGTTAGACCGATAGGGCCTAACCGAACAAAACAAGCAAGCTCCTGCTCCTGATCCATCAATCAATGGATCAATGTTTTCATCATCATCAAAGTTCATCGAGCTCCATCATCAAATGATGTTCTCTGATTCCTGCCCCTTCCAAGCGCGTTTATGACACATCTCTTCCACCAGTACCACGCTCCAAATCCCCCTGTGTGTCGCGTCGGCCATCTGATGCGGTGCCTCTGACCGCCTATGCCTGCCTCTGGTGACCTGAACAGTCGAGACGGTGTCCGTTTACAGGCAGGGGTCTGGTCGAGGGGGGGGTCGTGCGGGGGGGGGGGGGTCGTGGGACGACGACCGGCAGAGGGGGAGGGAGGGGGGCGAGACTGGTCAGGCTGCTCGCGGACGTAGGGGGCGGGGCTGGTCTGGAGATTGCGACATTGTTTACATACCATACCGCGGCCAGTATTCTGGGAAAAATATGCAATGTGCCCTATACCTAAGATCGTAACATAGTACCTACTACCTAGTTAGCATGGTTTCGATGCCAATTACATAGATGAACTGATGTTGCTGAAGGTGTTTTATCGATTCATCTTTGTTTCTTGAAAAAGCGTCAGCACAGCCAGAACTCATGTTTGTTATGTAATGTAACGTATACATGCAGTTATTTTGTAGTATGTAGTTATTAGCATAAATCCTAACGTATGTCATAACCGTATGTAGTTATTAGCATACATCCTAACGGAACATCTCCTGGAAGCCTCACTGTGGAACACATATCCAGTCTAAGCCCAAACGATATACAAACACCAACACTCTCGATTTAACTCTCTAACATCCGCTCCCATTCCCCTCCCTTTCTACCTACAGATCGCTTCACCATGGTTTCACCTCCGCTTCACCTCCGTAACTACATCGGCGGCCATTTTGTGGACGTGCCGGCCCGACTGGAGAGCCGTGACCCGAGCACAGGTCAGGTCACCGTCACCGTACCTGACAGTGACCGCGGTCACGTGGATGAGGCCGTCAAGGCCGCTGCCGAGGCGTTCAAAAGGTGAGGGCGGGGCGCGACTGTCTATCCTATGGAAAGACAGTTCCTATCATAGAGATCTTATATACATAGAGATGACATGCACTTAAAATCGTGGCGATTCAGTGGGTCTTTTTAAGCAACTTATTTTCAGCCAGTAGCGTGCCAATATGGCTGAGGCATTGTTAGTCTGAAGAAATTATTACGTAGCGAGCGAAGCAAGCTATAGTCTTTCGTAGATTAACGGAAATTTCTGAGTATGAGCGGCCGGCCGGCCGTGGTTACGCTTTTGCGAGGCTTATATCTCAGCAACCACTTGACCGATTTACATTCGATGATTTTTCTAGGGTAGCTTCATTCCTTCTACACTGAAAAAAATTTTACTCACTTTTCTGAGTAATGACTGAGTTGCCATTTTGTCCAATGGTAAAACTCACTCTAAATCCGCGTACTCAGGTAAAACTCAGGGCGGAACGCAGGTAAAACTCGGGCAAAACTCATTGCAAGTGAGTAGCATGTGAGTAACAAAGTGAGTTGCCATTTTGTCCGATGGTAAAACTCAGATAAAACTCAGTAAGTACTCATGCGTAACTCATGTCCTACTCAGACAACTCAGGCCAAACTCAGGTATTAGTAAGTCATTACTCATGAAAAACTAGGAAGTAACTCACATGTAACTCAGCTGGTACTAATGTATAACTCAGGTGGTAGTACGGCCATAACTCAGTTGGAACTCATCGGTTATTCAGTGAAAACTAGGGCTGTACTCAGGACGTACTCACGTCGATAACTCATACGATACTCGGGTGTTACTCAGGCGCCGCCTGAAACGGCTGATCTGATTCGTTTTATATTGGTTCAAGCCAATGTATAGGCTCGCCGCCCATGATAACAGCTGCCGCATCAGCATTATGCAATATGCATGCATGATGCTGATACAACAGCCACTACCAGGCAGCTAGTCTATATATTGGGATTGGCCAATATATAACGAATCATTGCCCAAAACCAGCATACATATCTGTATTATACCATGCCCGACCAACGTCTAGTCTTGCACTATTCGCCCCAGCCCTTACAAGAAATACATGTTTGTAGAAACGGTCGCATTGCGCTGTATTTCAATTCTGACACACGCCAAACTGCGTCGGGGGGGGGGGGGGGGATCGACTCCACGTCAGCTCAGCTTCACTCTTTTGCCAGCTTCTCGACCTCAGTCTTCGCGGCTACAGGTGGCTGGCGCTCAGCATTGAATGGTGTGTGGAGCACATGGATACACACAAACCACAGCGTGTTTCGCACTTTGTGCGCCGTTTGTTGACTGAGCACAAAGTGCGCCGTCGCCCACAGCAAAAGACTCCCTTCCAAACCATGGATCCCCACAAGACTTCCGTTCGCTCCACGATGAGGCGGCACCGTTCGTTTTCTTCGGACTTGTTATGATAGGGGTGATCCAAATTTTCGTCACCCGTGTACGCCACCACTGACGCCTTCTCCGCCAAGATGCAGAGGAGGCTCAATGGGCCGTTCCCTGAAAACACAATAAAAAAGTCAGATTTTCTTTTGCCAGTAAGAGAAACGGAAGTTATAGGGCATGCAAGTTGATTGAAATATCAAAAGTTATCAAGTTACTTCAGCTCAAAATTAATGTTAAACCGCGCCGTGCTGGTGCTCTGAGTTTACCGTGATGTACTGGGGGGGGGGGGGGGGTCGTCTTCACGTCCCCTCTTCTAACTCGGCTGTTGGGGTTGGGCCACGTAGCGACACGCAGTAAGCGGCTTTCGAAAAAGCATTAAAGATATTTAAGGAAATACTTGGGTAATTTTAAGGTCAAGTCAAGTGCCAGGTCACCAGAGTCCAGAGGTCAGGAAAGGCCAAATTTTGCTTATTTCAATTTTTTCGAAAAACTGGTGCTTAACTCGGAACCAAAAGAGCTGCCCGCGGAAAAATGCAGTCAAAAGCCCTTTCGACGTTTTTTTTTTTTTTTTTTTGCTGGCGTTTGATCTCAGATTTGACCTCAGGTCAACAATTAAGCCTCCAGAGAGCAAAAACTCTAAAAAAGCCGTTTTTACCAAAATGTTTTCTGTAATACTTTCCACTCAAGAGTCACGACATTTATTTTGCCGTTAGCATAGTGTTCCTCTCGTCGGGACGAAGGAACTATAATTATACCTTGAAAGGCCATATTTAAAACTTGACCTCAGGTTGACCTGACCAGGTCATGTTGCATATCAGTCGATCCAAACCGTCAAGCTGAACACATATGAGGTGTTTTATTGCACTAGCTAGCAAATATATTTTATACATGCCGTAAGGTTGATACTTGAGACATGGTGATGGGACAGTATCAAAAACGCTATAAAATGAAATCCGTTCGATATTTTTTTGACATTTTACCTCAAACTGGTGTGAAATCGAGCGGTGAATTCCCTGAGCGAAAATGACAAAAATATCGAACGGTTTCCATGGCACGTTGCGAACGGTGCGATCGTCAGCGACCATTGAAATTTTTCTGATGTTAAGTCATTTGACGTGACCTGACCTTGAACGACCTGGGTCTAAAATTTCTTCATATGCAGAAAAAAATGTATGAGCAGGTGTGCCGAAAATGGTGGCGCTTCGCGCCGCCGTTCTTAGATATTCGCGAAAAACCTGAGGGGGCGGGGTGGGGGGCGTAAAACGCCACCCAGCACAGCGCGGGTCAAGGTGGGATGGTCACCTTAACAGACGGTTTTTAGTCTCGCAAAACACTTCCATGGGCGTCCAATATTAACCCGCGCACCGACGGGGGTCTGCGCCAACTTAGTACCGACGGGGGGGGGGGGGGGGCGGATGACCGCCCCCCCCCTGAGATCTCGAGAACGAAGCAAGATAGCGACAAGCGGTAAACGGCATCGGATACGCACGGTCAAGATCTACAATTTTTACTAAGGTCATTTTCAGGTCAGGTCAAAGATGACGTCACAGGGGTCGAAAAAGTCAAAATGGCGGCGCTAGATATGGAGAGAGTTTTTCTCGAATAACTTTCGAATTAGTCAAGATAGGAACAAACTAAGGGCATCATCGTGATCCTCTCGTCAATCCGCATCGAATGATATATATGTTGACCTCGAAAGGTCAAGGTCAAAGGTTGACCTCAGGTCACGTGACCTCGAGGTCATCATGTATATCATTCGATGCGTCTTGACGAGCTGAACACAATGAGACCATCCACGCGTCTGTATCTTGTTCCTGTACGGAGTTATTGGCCAAAAACCTTTGGTGACCTTTGATGACGTCACATGACCTCACAGCTGCCCAACAGCAAAACAGACCTCAAGGTAGTGAAGGTTGATCGTATATGAAGTCATGTATGGTATATGGGGCCATTCCGACCCGTTTTAGTGGTAAAAACAGGGAGTTGATTTTTCCCCCATTGACTTATAATGGGGAGGTCGCGAAATTGACCTGACCTTAGGTCACCGATATCAAAATTCCGAGATATACAAATTGTAGCTACTAATGACCTAATAACATCCTGCGACTTTCAAAGGCCTCCGACATCTACTGTAGCTCTGGCACGGTGACAAAGTTGCAAAAAAATGACTTGAGGTTGGGTCATTCAAAGTGACCTGGTGACCTGACCTTGAAAGGTAGGAGGTTCAAACTTGCACACCATGTGTAAAATTGATAAGGGAATAGTCATACCAAATTTCGCGGCGCTACGCGCCGCGGTTTTTCCGCTATTCGCGAAAAACCTCAGGGGGGGGGGGCGGATATCCGCCCCCCCGTCGGTGCGCGGGTTAAAATCAGCTTGAAACAATCACATAAAATGTGTTATACTTAACAGTAATGGAAATAATTATGTCACGTCCAAACGCGTCTCGAACAGTGGAAAAATAATAAGCACAAACGAGACAAAAGAATCTTAAACGGTTCAGCGAGCGGAATTAAGATCATGGGCTCCACCACCGGGGGGGGGGGGGGGAGGGAAGGGTACGGGGGACGTGTCCCCCAATATTTTACATTTTTAACATTGTGCCTACTGCCTATGGATGCTGCATGGAAAGAATCGACTTCAAACAACCTTCGCCCCCCCCCCCAAAAAAAAACATCGGGTCGTGACGGAGTTCTTGTTTAAAGAAGTAAAAAGGGTCAAATGAACGTTCTTTTAGGATAAGGACAACATTATCCCACAAACATGTTTTTTTAATTTAAATATAACATAACTCACCTCTTCTTTTTCGAACTATGCCGGGTAGGTATCCCTCAGTTTCTCGATCGACCTGCTCCGCCGTTCACGGTTGGCACCGACCTCCTGACGCCGGCGGGGAATGTCTGCTGGTCCATCAGTTCACCTCCCTGTTCTCCGCGGCGCATGCGATTGATAAAAGCTTCATCGACAATCACCGAGCTCTTCACAGATAACTTACCCGTCCCATCCTTCGCTGCACGCCTTCCCCGCTCCTGCACTCTCCTGCACAATTTCACAATAGCCTCAACAATTCAACGTGAACTACGCGAGTCACCGCGCCACAACGGACTGAAGCGCGCGCCGCGGTTTTCGAACGCAACGGCTATAATACTCATCACGCGAACTCACGCATCACGCAGGAAACTCACCCTGCCGCGCATGCGCGCATCTTCAAGCCGGGGGTACCTCACGCACAACTGCACGTGAATTCGCGAGAACTCATGCATTGCGCAGGAAACTAGATTTGCCCAAGCAAAACTCATTTCCGACTCAGTTCGAATTCACGAAACTAAGCACTCAGAACTCACGCATAACGAAGTCACCCTGGTGATGTGAGTTGGATCAGCCAATAAGTGAGCACCACTATCGTATTCACTGAGTTTCTTCATGAGTTATTACTGAGTAATGCCTGGCCTGAGTAAAAAATTTTTTCAGTGTACCAAGTATTGGACTATTCTCGATGCATGTGGGTGACCGCTTATGCACGTGCCACGTGCAAAACGAAGAGGTGTCAGTTTTGTAATTGTTGCAATATCTTGGTAACTACTTGGCCGATTGCGCTGAAAGTTGG